TACCTGGGCAGAGGCAGTGTCGCCTCCAACCGCCATCTCCTCCAGGCCCGTGGGATCACCTGCATTGTCAATGCCACCATTGAGATTCCCAATTTCAACTGGCCTCAGTTTGAATATGTCAAAGTGCCTCTGGCTGACATGCCCCATGCCCCCATTGGGCTGTACTTTGACACTGTGGCTGACAAGATCCACAGTGTGAGCCGCAAGCACGGGGCAACTCTGGTGCACTGTGCAGCTGGTGTGAGCCGTTCTGCTACTCTCTGCCTCGCTTACCTGATGAAGTACCACAATGTGTGTCTGCTGGAGGCATACAACTGGGTCAAAGCCCGAAGGCCTGTAATTAGGCCCAATGTAGGTTTCTGGAGGCAGCTGATAGACTATGAACGTCAGCTGTTTGGGAAGTCAACAGTTAAAATGGTACAGACGCCTTATGGCATTGTCCCAGACGTTTATGAGAAAGAATCTCGACACCTGATGCCTTACTGGGGGATTTAATACCACTGCAGCCTGCATCAGCAGCTCCATTGAGCAGTACCAGCATCTGCTACACACAGTCTGCTATCCTCTACACCTTTCTTTTCAAATGATCGACTTTTGGTTTTCCCTCAAGTGTTTTTTACACTGGGTGTTCAAGTCTATTTTAAGAGGTGGGGAGGGTGGGGGAAGGGACACATTGCATTGCTAGCCACATTTTTAAAAGTAACCTTTTGAAATAGTGTTTACAAAAATCTTTATCCAGCTTTTAATCATTTTTAACAGTTTGAAAGTTAAATAATTTAATGACATGTTTTGCTCTTCCTCACCCTAAATCTTATGCCTTTGACATCATTGCAGGTATCTGAGCTCAATTCAAAGTGACAGTCACTTTGTGCTAGGATCAATCCTTCAGACACAGGCTTTTTACTCAAGGCTGCCAACTATAAAACACCTGCTTAGACAAAATTTATATAATGCTTCAGTCTTCAGTGGGTCAACTCTATTCTTTCTCATTCACAATTCACTCAACCTGCAACTTCAAATAAGTAAACTTTTATTTAATTGTAAGTAAAGATAATGAAATTTGCTGCAGAAACCATCTTGGAATCGCTTTGTGATCCTGGATTATATTAGTACTTTTAGTAAACTTGTAATCTTCTTAATCTTTTATTAGGCAGATTTTTGTTTTCCTGATAATGATTCACTTTTATGTTTCTTGTAAGGATAAAAGAAAGAAATGGTAAAATATGGTTCTTCTGACAAAATTATGAACATTGCTTAAAATAGACTTCCCAGCTGAGTCATGCACACTCATTCACACTGTTGCAGATGGGCAGATATTAATACCACAGACAAGCATTGCTGGAACAGTGAGAATAATGTGTTTGCTCAAAAAAAAAGTTCTTTTTATTAGCCCATTGCTAAGTGGAGTGCTCTAAAGCACTAGGTCCTCCCTCTATTATAGGTATCTTTAAAAAAAAAAAAAAGAGTGCCTCTACTTATATTTAAAAAAACAACAAAACAGAATCATAAAAAAAAAAAATAAAGATTATAAACACTTAACAGTAATGGCTTTTCTTGACTGCATTTGATTTAACTGCAGAAATGTTATGTAACTTGCTCAATGACTAATACCTTGGACAGCACAGCCTTACAGGGGCTTTGTGGAATTTTCAACACCTGTCATTTTAAATGAACTATTACCCATAATCCTAGGGAGTAGCTGTATTGTCAGACTGACTCTAACTCTAATCTACCTAGTCTCAAGTCTTTCTAGATTTGATATTGCTTCTGGGTATAAGATGACAGTGAAATACAATGCCAATAGCTACAACTGTGTTCTCCAGACTTTTTGTTCATTCACTCCTGTCAATAAAACATTTTTTTTTTTCCTGCCTGATGAGTCTTCTGGAAGGGAGATGACCTTTCGTCACAGCACCTGTTCTGTTCTGAGGCTCTGTCATGCCTGCTTGAGAAGGGGAAGGTTGGGAACCTGTGTTACAGCAGGAAGAGAGAGAACCACAGGGTTGGGTGGTAACAATCTTGCACGTGATTTGAGTATGAAAGTATAGGTTTGGCAACTTGTGATTGAAAACCCCAAATGGTCATCCTTCAACAATGTGAAAAATTTGTAACATTCTTCTTGATTTTAAGTTACCTTAAAATCTTTTAGTGAATAGGGAAACTGTTTCAAAGAAACACTGGTGAAGACATTTGGGAAGTGGAGCTAATACTGTTTTGTTTGTTAAAAGGTTTATAGAAAAATTTACCTTTATGAATAATGGGATTTTTTGAGTTCTTTATCCTGTGCATTATGGCTCATCTTAAATGTAAAAAGGCTGTAAACTGAAAAGTGTGACATTCTCTAGGATTAATCACATGAATTTTCGAAGGTTTGCCTTTAAAAACAGCAAATATTTTCTCATTTTCCTGAAGGAAAAAAAGGTGCTTAATGTGCAGTGCAAGACAATTAATAGCATAAAAGAAAGCCACTCCTTATTTGATGATACAAACAACTTCCACCACAACATAAGATAATCTATTACCAGTTTTTGATTATGTTCCATCAACTTCAGTTGGTTCATGGATGCCTAACTCATAGTATGAGGTCTATTACATTGTCATCAGAAAGCACATACCAGCAGGTTGGTTTTTAACCATATATGTTATTTAAAGTAGAATGGGAGTACTGGAAGTGTCAAGTAAAATTTCAAATACTGGCAAAAGTGTGAAAAGCATTTGTAGAAAGTACTTGAGAGCTTATCTGCCATAGGTGGTATTATATGGGAGATTTCATTTCTTTGATCTTCTGTGGTTGCCTGGCTTTAACAAAGTTGAGTAGTCCAAAATGTTTTAGGGACAATTAGGTGGCCTTTAGTACAAAGCAAAGGAAGTTAAGTTTTTATAAAACTTAGACACTACTGCCTTCAAAACCTTGAACAGAGTGATTAAAAAGCAAGTAGAAGACATCTTTAAAAATTTAGATATCACAGAACATTAAACTTTCAGTATGCAACCTGGATGCAATGTTGGCTGGTAAGTAAATAGTGAAAAGATCCTTTTAGAGATGACATCAACACCAGTGTGTACAGAAGAAATTTAAATTTGCTTTCTTAGCAATAAAATCAGAAGCCCACATGCAGTATCAAAATTTTTAAAAAGAGTATTTGTGAATCTTCACGCCAGCAGTGAAGTGAAGCTGTTTTGACACTGCATACTATGGAAATCAGTCACCTTGGTTACAGTTTCCAAGGACACAAGGCCCTGGGCTAACCATAGAAATCACTGAGGTGGAGGTAAACAGCAGTACTGAGTCATTTAATGAAGAGGGTATGTGTAAGCAGAGAAACAAATGGAATGGTACTCTTCTGATATTCTTGATGGGAAAGGAGACATTAAAAACTCTGTTCTTTATGTCAAAGGGCATCTTGATGATACTGTGTATTGGTTTCTGCTTCAGCACTTCTCAAACAGTGCCACAGTGTGTCATATGTCACTCAAGTTAGTTGTCATCCTTGGAGATCTCTTGGATATGTCTAAGATTTAGAAACATCTGCTTAATAGGTGAACAGAAGCAAAAGAATGGCATTACTCGCTATGGGCTGCTGTCACAAGATAATGGTCCTTTTAAGAATTTGCACAAAAATAAACACCACAAGAATTGTAAGCTTTGTCAACAAAGGTATTTTCTGTTATCACTGATAATTATACTATGGAATTTACAGATCAATCCAAAGTGGACTCATTCTAGTGTTAAAATGACATACATAGCATCCTATTTACAGGTTCATAGGTAGACCCTGTCAGGAAATCTCCTTAACCTATGGGAACTTGGTTTAATTGCTAAGTAAGTGAAAGTCTAGTCTCAGCACATTGGGGTTGGCCATCTAAGCCATACTAGTTTGTTGATTTGGTTTGGAACAAAATGAACAATTCTATTCCAATTTGTGTCATACTCTTCTCTTTCCATTCTTTTGTTCAGTGGAGTCAAAGCCACAGTCCCATGAACTTAACAAAAACTTATTACATGTATAAAGTAAAATAGAATTTCCCTTATGATCTGTCATGGGAAAGGGGAAAACAAAGCAATTATATAAAAGCAATGACAGGCAATGCTATGCATTTTTTTTTAAGCAATCCAAGCTAAGAATAGTGCAGTGAGATAATGAGTATGGTACTTAAGTTTGATTTAAAATAAGCTTTTTTTAAAAAAAAATCTGTAGGTGAGAGTAACTGTCCCGCTACTTGGTATATTTTCCATAGGACTAATGAGTCCTCAGCAGCCCTGCTTTATTTTCTGATACACTGTTTTCAGTTACAACACTGTTTCAGTTTACAAGGCAAAGACAATTCACACAGCATATAAGCCTTGTCCGTCTAGATTTTAATTTGTCTGAATTTTCACAGCTTATAAGTCAGAAGCTCTTGTCACAAATACTGCTGTTTTCCAACAGTGTTAAGAAAGTTATGTACTGTAAAAATCAAGGAGTGTTGATCTTCATATACTCTTCTACAGGAAGGGCTGCTCATTGCAAAGAAATACCATTCAGCTGCATAAACAGTCCTGCTAATACATATTCTTCCAGGAAAGTATCATGGTCCTGGGCCTTGTTCAGGGGGTGGGATTCAGGACAGGGACATCATCAGGGAAGAATTAGAAGGATTTACAAACTGATGCACAGGTTTAAGGTGTCCATGCTAATGTGAATGTCTTTCCCTATGAAGATGTCCCTGGACATTTCTGAGAGTTTTCCTTAGCAAATGTGGTTCTAGAAACTAGGGATGAGAAATTTTATAACAATGGGATATTGTAAAGTTTACTGGGACTCCCAATACTTGCAGCACTATCTACAAGTCTAATCATCAGCCCAAACATTATTTTTAATCCTTTTATTGTTTTTTGGGGGGGGGGAGGGAGCAGGGGGGGGGGGGTTGGGTTATTTTTTTTTGGTGAGGCAATTGAGGTTAAATGACTTAACCCCACAGGGTCACAAAGCTAGTAAGTGTCAAGTGTTGGTTCTGAGACTGGATTTGAACTTGGGTCCTCCTGACTCCAAGGCCACTGTTCTATACACTGTGCCACCTAGCTGCCCCATTTTTAATCCTTTTAAACAAATTTGAAGCAAAGAAATGCATTTTTATCCCACAGGACAAATATCATTTCTATATCTAAATAAGCAGACAGGATTTTCATAATTTCTAGTTCTATAATGGTATTTCTTCTGTCAGTTATTCAATTTTGAAACCATAGCAGCAAATACTTCCTTAGAGAAAAATGATCATCTGTATATTAAAACATTGTAAGAGAATGAGAAATTTACAGACCTGTGGTGTCTATGTCTAACACAGTCTGGGCAGGGCTAAGGTAAGACAGATACAGAATGGTAATTATCTCCCTTGTCTTAACAGTAGCTTTGCATCATGGGGTGGCTCTCATAGAATGTTAATTACTTTATCCCAGACCCTAAGTGGGATCAACAGTTGGAGATACCAGTAATGGTTTGTATCATCCATCCTTTTGTGCCTCTTGGGAAGTTCCTTATATGGACTCATGGAAATTAGTTTGCATTACTCATTTACTGGTCCCCTCACTACCTGGGGCAAGGCAAGAAAAAGCTGGTGCTTGATGGAAGGCCTTCTTAGAGTAGATCTGGCAGGATGAGTCCTGGAGGTTTGGGCTCTACACAGTTGATCCAGAAGTTGGCACAGCTTGCATGATACTGATGTCCTCCATATGCCAGTTTGAAACTGTCTGTGTCAGAATTGAATGCCTATAAAAACAAAAAGATTGAGGTGGAAGGGAAGAGAGGTCAGGCTTTGTGGAGTAATGGCACTGGAATTGGGCAGAATGACATTTTCCTTGAGAGAAAATAAATGGGGTGTCAGACTCTGAGTCCCCAAGCTTATACTGAGGTTTGTAGCAGGGCTATGGCCAAAATGGCAAGATCAAAGCTACTTAGTCTGTAAAAGCTGAAGTAATGGCACCATTTCTCTGCTTAAAAAGACCAGATTCTTGCCAATAAACTGGCTTTCAGCAAAAGATGGCAAATGTTTGTGTAGACAAACTGCACAAAGAAAGATATGGGAGGCCACAGCGACCAGATGAATTTCCTGGGCTGCAGAAAATCCCTGCTTAATTTGACTTACACATAATCTCTCTCTTTTTTTTCATTTTTATTCATTCACATTTGGTTAATTTCAATATATTAAAACCTCAAATGAGCTGAAAATAACAGAATTTTTTAATGCTATCGAGAATAGATCCAACAGTGACATCTGAATCAACTTAACTCTAAAGCAATTACCATATAACAAGAATGCTCACAGCATTCACAGTTGCAAAAAATGACTTAATACAACTCTCAGATGACTGAGTTGTCAAAGATATTGAAAGATAACGTTAGCAAGGAGAATAAAAAATATCGTCTTGCTTTCAGTCACTTGCTGTGGTGTTTAACGTTCTTGGAGAGATTAATGAAAATTTACTTTGGAGTGGGGTACTAAAAAAACCTACTCCAAACCTAAAAACTCAAATTATTTTGATGATGGAGTTTGGTGGATTAGACAAATCCTGACGCACTCTAGCTTTGTAGTCTAATCTGGTCATTACAACTTGCATGGCTTCTCCATAAGTTGGCCACAAAGTTGTACTGCATACCGTAGGAGGAAGAAATATGTGAAAAACCAATCATGAGATATAAGCATGCAAAACAAGACAGAAGGGAAGTCACAAAGACACATTAATTGATTAAACATTACGGCAACAAAAATGACTGAAGGATTCATGATAGGAATAATTCAGAACGGCAGTGGAATTATTCAATATGCCTTTCACACTCATAATTAAGATGATGACGCTAAGAAAAGATGTGACTGGTTCATACTTTTTTAGGATGCTCTTCTGCAGGTTTCTCTTCATTCTGAAATAATGTTGAAACCAAAAGGTCAACAAGACTCCCAACACGTTTGCCTACCTCCAAACTGTTTCATGTTTGACCCTTCTTCATAGCCCCACTGTGCTTTGTACCTTGGCTACACACACTGAAAATAGTAAGTTCATTAATTTAAAAACAAACAACCTCCCTCTCCATAACCAAAACAATATTTAACACATGCTTCCCTCATTGCCCTTTATAAAGAAAGTAACTGTTACCTCCTTGGAGCTTTACAAAAATTCTAACCTCTGGTGACACCACACGTGTGAGAAAGACACTACAAAGAAGACTGACTAGAGCTTCTCCCAAGAGACCCTGCAAACAGTACTTTTGAGTTAGTCTGGGTGGGCATGCCTGGAACTTACTCGGCTCCTTGAATCGACATTCAGTAGGCATACCCCACAGGCAAGTTCCTGAGCATTTTTAATCCCAGGACGCAGCATACAGGATGAGAAATCCAACGAGTTTTCATCTGGCTATAAAGACAATGAAACAAACAGTTAAAAGGCCAACAATTCCAAATGATATTTGTTTGGTTCACCCTCATCACTCATTTCTAGTAGCAGCGCTAGCAACAAAAATAAAAAATCTTATAATTACTAACATTTGTCAGAAGGTTTAAGGCAGTGTGCATGTTCTCTAATTTCTGCCTGAAAGTACTTGTGCTCAAACAGTTATTTTCAGTTTCAACAGTAGGTAATTATTTATGTGCAATGAGAAAAAATTATTGTTCATTTTATTTTTTGTAATGAAAAGTTTCCTTATCCTTTATTCTTGCCCTCCCACCCAACAAAAAACGTAGTTATTTCATCCCCTTTCAGTGTGGAGACTTAAAATAAAATGGCTACTGTATTTCCTTGAAGCAACCATCCCCTGATTTTAAGTTGTACCTTTCCAGACCATATAAAAGGAGCAAAGGGAGAGGAAATATTTTTCACAGAATTTTAGCACTGAAAAGAGCTTTAGAAGTCACATAAGTTCAACCCATACCTGATACATTAAATCGTTCCACAGCATACCCTACCAGTGGTTAATCAATCATGTTGAGGTCCCCTGACTTCCTTTAAGTCAGGGGACAATTTATGTGCTTATGTCCACTTTGGTCAAAAGCCCTTGGTGCTTTAGGTTTTTCTTCTGTAAAATCTGGGATAACATTTGCTCTAGTTTTCAAATAGAGTTTAGGAGGATCAAAAAGGATCCTGTATATATATAAAACAGGTGGAAGTAAATGGAGAGATTAATGTGTACTACTCGACATGCAATTCCAAAGTGTGTAGGTATGGCAGCTCCTGATACATTAAACCTAGCATAAAAATTAGGTAACTATAATTGAAAGGGATTTTAAAAGAGCTGATTAAGAACAGAACAGCATCTTTGTAATCTGTACCAGAGATGCTCTCATCATGCTGCTAGAACAACAGAGCCACTTGAGAACTGGAAGTGAAACATTTTCCATCTTCACTTTCTTAAATAAAAAGAACTTTTTCAAATTTAAATTTGTGAATTTATGTAAAATCATGTGTGTGCCAATCAGAATGCCTATTTTATGAAGTATTTTGTCTGTACTTGAGGCTATTATTTGCTAGTCTAAGTTTAAAAAGACATACATTATATACTACTTGTATACAAAAATGCTAGGGCACAGAATTCTATGTCTAATGGCTATACTACCTTCCAAGAAAACATCAAACATGATGTAAGTACAAAAAGTGCACCTGAACTTCTCAACTTTATTACAACTTCCTATGCCCTCTCTCCTTTCAGCTACATACATGTATAATGAGGAATCTGAGAGCTTCCTGGAGACAAGTTTATGGAGGAATATTAATAAAAAATAAACATTTATCAGCTGTCTCAACTGTATTAAGTGAAAAGTCCATAGTATACTATTCACTGCATGTCAAAAGCAGTTGTAAAAGTGTTTTTGGCCTGAACTTTGGGATGAAATGTGATTTTCATTTTCTAAGCAGAAGTCAGAATTTCCTTCTCTAGGCCTTACCTGTTTGGCAGAAACTGTCTAGCTTTCCTTGTTTTCCAGGGTCTGTAGTCTTTCTCCTCTTCTAAACTTAAAAGGCCATTGGGTAAGGGGAACAAGGTGCAACCTGTGATAGTCAATCACCTGTGGAGCAGGCCACTCAAAGCTCATCATGATTGACTGAGTATGTCAATAAAGCAAATGCTATTCTACTGCCCTCAAGAAGCTTAGACCCATCACAGTTGGTGTCTTTCTACCTAATCCTTCTACCACAAGAGGGAGACTTTCTTCAGCAATACAAGGAATTGTTATTTGTCCTTTGTTCTCACAGAAGACCATTACATCAGGAAGGTGATGCCATGGCATGCAAGTGAATTGGATTTCAGTGAGGGAGGGCTGTGCAAGGTCACCAGCCTCGCTTTCTCCTCCAGAGCCATCTGGGTCCAGTGGGCAGAAATAGATCAGGCTGATCAGGCCTACTGGAGATGGCCCAGGATGCAGTGGGGGACCTTAACCTTTTCTTTCTTTTTTTGGTTGAGCAGTGGGGGTTAAGTGACTTGCCCAGGGTCACACAGCTAGTAAGTGTCAAGTGTTTGGTCTGAGTTTGGATTTGAACTCGGGTCCTCCTGACTCCAGGGCCGGTGCTCTATCCACTGTGCCACCTAGCTGCCTGACCTTGGGCTTTTCAAATTAAAGTCTTTAACAGTCTCAGGTTGACCAAGGCAGGACTATTCCGTGATTAAGGCTTAATGAGGCAGAAAATAGCCTCTTTTCCTAGTTAAAAAAAAAAAAATTTATCTGGGAGGGGAAGACCCTCAGGGTTTCTGACCAAAACAGAAAAAAATTGTTATTTACATTCATCCTGGTCCAATCAGGACCCAAACAATGATTAAGTAGGGCTTGGCCTGGGACCTACTGTTGGCCAATCAATGAGAGCCAGAGTGGTTTGTGGTTAAAGCTGGTCTTTTTTAAGAAAGAAAAAACAAAACAAAACAAAAAAGGGTTTCAGAGATTAAAATTTTTGAGCAGACCACCTGCAGTTAAAGGTGATACCGTATGTGGACAGTGAGAGAATGCCACTGTCCTTCACAACCTGATTCCTTCCTACCTTTCTAGGCTTCAAACATTTAATTCCTCTTTATACACTCTGTGATCCAGCTGTATAGACACAGGGCTTCCTCACACTGGGCACGTGGTTATTGATTTTATTTTAATTTTTTGCTTTTTGGTGAGGCAATCGGGGTTAAGTGACTTGCCCAGGGTCACACAGCTAGTAAGTGTCAAGTGTTTGGTCTGAGGTCGCATTTGAACTTGGGTCCTCCTGACTTCAGGACCAGTACTCCATCCTTGGCGCCACCTAGCTGCCCCTTGGGCATGTGGTTATTACAATGAAATGAACAAAATGTGGCCCTGCCAACACAAAGAGTGTATTCTCAGAACCTCTGCTAGCACTAAGTGAATGGTCAAAATTTGGATTTTCTAAAGGTATTCCACCTGCAATATCCTAGACGCCACTGTTCTGACAGCTTTATTTTCTGGTGGCTTCTCTTAGTGAAGAAAGCATTATAAATAGTAGTTTCAGAGGATCACAGATTTAGAGCTAGAAGGAACCTCTCCCAGGTAATAAACCCTACCTTTTACAGATGAGGAAAGAGAGGTTAAATATCCTTGGTGATTTAGTATAAGGTCACACTAATAGTAAGTAGTAGATCTGAACCCAAGTCCTAACTCCACATTCAATGCTCTTTCCAAAGTACCATATAGTACCCTTCTGATAAATCACCTGTGTGCCATCCCAAAAGGAGGAAAATGAACTTCTCAGAATCCTAGAGGGCAAAAATCAGAAAGAGCCCATGGATAGCAATGATCCAACACGAGAAAACTTAAACACCTGAAACAATGATAAGCTTGAGAATATGCTCTAACTCTCCTATCACTGCCTCCGTTTAACCATCCCTCCTCTCCTTTGTGTTTCCTGCCCCCAAGACCACACAGACTCTTGTACTTGAGTTTATATGCTCCTCTGTGCTGTGTCTCTCTTTAGCCTGAAAACTATTTTCTCTCTTATGCTTTTAACTGCTCAATGAATATGATATCAATTTGATTTAACAAACACTATATCCACTATGTGCCAGGCACTAGGGAAACAAAAACATCCCCCCCCAGAAAACAAAAGAAAAAACAAAACAAAGCAGAACATAAACTCCTCAATGGCAGAGACTATTTTAAGGGTGTTGGGGGGGGAAGGGGAATATTCCCTATGTACACAAATAAATACAAAGTAATTTCAGGAGAGAAAGAGGTCACTACCACCTGAGGGGTCAGGGAAGGCTTCCTGGAAAGGGTAGCACCTGAACTGAGCCTTTAAAAATCAAAAAAAAAAAATTGTATTTTCTTCTTTGACCTACCCATTCTTTAGGATTAAGTTATTTATAGTTTCCAATGAGTTTTTAATCTTTGCTTCAAAGGCCCTTTGACTGAATGTAATTTTTATTGCATTGTGGTTGGTAAGAGATTCACTTAATATTTATGCTTTTCTTCATTTGTGAGGTTTTTATGTCCTTACATGATCAATTTTTGGTGAAGGTGCCATGCACAGCAGAGAAATAGGTATACTTTCTATTTCCATTCAACATTCTCAGAGGTCTAGCACATCTAACTTTTCTAAAATTTCTATTCAGGTCCTTAACTTCTTTATTTTGTGGTTCAATTTATCTAGTTCTGTGAGGGGTTGAGCCTCCTCCCCATCATTATAGTTTGATTGTTTTTTCCTGTGACTCATTTAACTTTCTCCTTTAAGGATTTAGATGCTGTGCATGTGGTGTATATAGGTTTAGCTCTGATATTATTTCAATGTTTACGGTATTTTTTTTTTTTAGTAAAATGTAGTTTTCCTGCTTATCTCTTTTAATTAGATGCTTTTGCTTTGTCTGCTACATTTTTTTCTACTGCAGCTGAAAACTGATTCTGTTCCAGCCCCTTAATTTAATTCCATGTGTATTTTTTTTAAGTGTTTCTTGTAAACAACTTATTGTCAGATTCTAATTTCTAGTCTATTCTGTCATGCTCTTCCGTTTTGTGAATGGGTTCATTCCATTCACATTTACAGTTATGACTGATGTGTATTTCCTTCCATCCTGTTTTCTTATCTGCTTTTCTTTTGACTACTGCCTCCCTTTATCTGCCTTCCTTATTCCCCACCCCTCATTTCCATTCTACTTTCCTGTTAGGTAAATGAATTTTTATACCCAAATATGTATATGTATTTTTTTCCTTCTTTAACCAGTTGAGATGAGAGTAAGGTTCAAGTGTCTTCCACTCTACTGCCCTGTTATATAAACCCTTATTTGCATACCTCTGTTATGTGAGATATTTTCTCCATTCTTCCTCTTCCTTCCCCCTCTTCTAGTGTATTCCTTTTCCCTACCCTTCCATTCTTCTTTTGAGATTATCTGAACATAACAGAATCACAGCCAAAAGACCTCTGGTGATGATAAAGTG